TACAAAATATAACAAATCGCATTTCCTAAAGGAAAAACTTCAAAGCACACAGAAGCTTGCTTTTGTCCTGGTTATTGGATCTGGAGCAAGCCTGCCTGGCCACTGCAGCTTCCCAAGACCCCGGCATCCCGCAGCGATTCGGGAGGGTCTAACTGACAAAGGACAGAGCAGCAAGGGAGGCAAGTGCCAGCCTCTCCCCTCCGCGCTGTCCTGCACGAGCACAGCCGTGCAAGATCAGCACAAAGCATGTTCCTCCATGTTTGAAGTTTGCCCGTTCTCTTTCGAGAAATTCTTTTAACTTAAGGAAATGAAGCACAATAAAACCAGGAATTAAAAAACCCCAACAACCCAGCGCCAAAAGTGACACAACGCAAACTTCAAATTTGGAAACTGATTCATTTGCCAGCTCATAAGCATACACACCTAGCATGTCTATATTTATATGCATGGACTCGGGCTCTCTGCTCTGTGGAGGCATTCTGAGTATTTTTAAATCAGCGAGAAATCAAGAATCACTGCACTTACAGGAGAGAAGACGGAAAAATCCCCCTTTCTCTAAGTTCCAACCATTCAGGTTACAGGTGTCTTGACACAGCAGCTCTCCTTGCAACATCCAGCAAGACTAAGAGCCCGGATGGATACAAAATCTTTCCTGAGATTCTTTCCCTTGACAAGCCACTGCTCACTCCTGCAGACAGGCTGGATTTTGGATTGGAGTCTGAGCCAGTAGATGATATGAGAAGCCTTTGTGTTGGAATGGCAATCTGGGGAGCATTCTGATCGTGTGAAAGATGGCAATGTTTGACCAAGTACTGCCAGAGAGCTGTGCTGCTGTCCCTACCTTATGGGGCTGGGAATTAAAAGCTGCAAGTTCAATGCCCAGCTTTGTCCATAACCCACAGTGGTCTCAGCAGATCAAACTCTCTCAGCATCTCCTTCTAGAAAACAGGGATAACAACACATCTCAGCAGCATCACAAGGGTTTGTTAATGCTTGTAAGCACTTTGTAGATAAGGAACATCAAGACAGCAGTTCGCAGAGGGATTTGGGGCACAGACAGATGAAAATCCAAAGTACTCATATCATACACTCTTTTTAGACAAGCATAGAGGCAGATCATCTCCTTGCATTTTCTGGTTGTGGGCTTCATCCTCTCAACATACTGAGCACCCTGCCTTTGATCCAAAAAATGAGTCCAGGGAGAATATTCAAAAGGCTTCATGTTAATCATATGCTTAAATCCTCTGAATATATAAAGAGGGCAAAAGAAAAAAGCGTGCCCCAGCTCTAAAACAAACACAAATTCCCAGAAGTTATATTTAGGACATGAGCAAACATTTGATCAGCAAAGGAAAGTCCTTTGCTACACACCTGCTAAGCTTCTACAACCCTTAAGAAAACTGCAGCTGGGAAAAGTGTCCAGAGCAAGTTTGCTTAGACAAAACATTTCTAACATAACCAATGCGATACTATTAGAAAGACGCACCCCAGAGTATCTGAACTGCTGTTCCATAGGCAGAGCAGACCTTGAGCAAGGAAATGAGAAAAAAATAATAGTTTACTAAGGTACTTACCACACAGATTTAAACGTATGATTATTAAATCATTTGCTACTATTAATTCCTTCATTTATTAGCTGTCTACTGAGAGAGTACAGGTCTTCCTCAGAGAACAGGCACTGCCACCTAGACCTCACAAACACCACGTGCCTTGCAGCAGCCATCAGCAGCACCTAGAAAGCATCCTCTCCTAACGCTGTATCAGAGTGCAACAATACTAAGCAAAAGGCATCGGATTCCCCTTAAAGCCTTGTCCATTTTAAGCACACACCGCTCTCTCTCCGCTATCTGAAACATCTAACTCCTTTTTACAGCCTGCTAAGCTCCTGGCCTAGCTAATGGTTTGGGGCTGTGAGTCTCCTACGCTCACAGGCTGGGGTCCCCAGAAGTCTCTGCTCTGGCATCAACCCCACTGTGGCTCATTTCCGCAGGTGCATCAAGTCAGAGGGAAGGACACAGTGCAGCTTTTGCACAGATGAGCTCAGCCTGGCAAGAGCAAGTACCTGCAGCATTAGGGTGCACTGAGCTCCACATGGTCACAGACACCCTCCTGCAGAGCAAAGAGGGCTTCAAGCCACGTCCACTACTGCAGCGTGGACATACCCCTGACCAAATCAGCACCTGCAGTGTAAACAAATGACTGGCTTCCAGAGAGGATTTTCAAAACTCTGTTAAACAAGCATGTATAGCAAGAAAAGTGTGAGGCGATTAAAGGACCACTATCCAGAGCTTGATTGCTTTAGCAGATCTGTAAACATTATCCAGCTTACTCACAGCAACATCACGCTTCGCCAGTGATGTGAAAAGGACAAATCACTGTCACCAGCGTAAATCACCCAAGATGCTAAATAAGGCTGCTAATTATTTTTAAGGATTTTTAAAGAATCCTTTAAGATTATTGCCCCCAAATTTGATTAAATATCACTTTAAATCTTTTCAACTGAACATCATTAGGTGCAGCTGATTTGGTGGTATAATAGGAATGTTTCCTCCTCAACTAATGTCTTCTGTGAAGTGTGCTGTATTTTAACAGTACACACCACTGTGTATTAATATTTAACTTAATAAATTAGAGGGAGCTGTATCAGTCCCATCTTACAAAGGGTTAACAAAGTAATTACCTTCCTTGGTTGGCTGAATTAGAACTATACAAAATGCCATGCCTCAGAGGAGGCAGAAGCATATGCCTACCTTCACCTGCCATAAACCAAAAACCATGAGGGATGGAATTACATCGTTGGGCGAGGCTGTAAGAAGTCCAAGGGAAGTTAACGCAGCAGTAGAAATCCTGGTTTTGTTTCTCCACCTCCTTTGCAAGACACTTTGCTGTCCCAAGGTTTGTAGGTACTACAGAACAACACAAAGTTCACAGCTATTACAACTCATTAGCATGAGCTGGCAGATCCCACCACTGGGGAAACCCTCTGGAAATGGCTGAATGCCCCAGAAGACACCACCATGACTTTCTCAGCATTTTCCTGGAGGAAGCAGCACTCTCCTTCATGTTGGGGTAAGCTACGAGGCACAACTCCAAGCCTGTGCAGTCTCAGAGCATCTCTGACAATAAGCTAAGACCTCTTAGATATCTCTAGTGCCTTTGCTTTGTTCTGTGCCGCCATTAATACCAATCAGGAGGACAACTCTGACAGACTTCATTGCCAGGCACCTTCCCCTGGCTAGAGCCTTGACTCCTCCTTTACTGTTTCTTTGTTGTAATCTATACAGAGCCAGAGAGTAACAAACAAATGCACTCCTCATCCTCACCCCATTACCCAGTCATCCTTCTCCATCCTACATAGGCAGTCTACTTCTCCTCCCACCCTTAACAAAATAAGTGACATTTAGAGAGCCCTGGAAAGCAGGGCACCAACAAGGCACATCTTTCCATGAGGAGGAAGGCAGAGACACCTCCAGGCAGGAGGTGCCACTGGCAGCACTACAGAGCACAGGTATCCCACAGCAGGAGCCAAACCTGGGTAAGGACTTCTGGAATACTCCTTTTGTCTTATATCTGCTTGAGAGCAATAATTAAATTCCAGTCTAATTTCCTTCTGATCTACAGCTCTAACTCCTGAATGACTCCTATGAAGTCAGTTACCAATGCAGTATCACTCTGAATTTTTATCATAAGTAAGGAGCCCATGAAGCTACTAAAGCAATGACAATCTTTTTATCTATGAAACACCTGTCCGGGAAATTTCTTCTCTGGAATATAATTGTCAGTATTTTAGGTTTCAGTAACAACACAAGATGTGCTGCCACCACCACCCTACTTCGAAAACAGAGGCAGGGAATTGTATTAAAGGACCGTGAAGTCTAGAGAATACAATATGAACACAAATGGTTCCTCTTCCGCACTTCTCCCCCTCACCTCTCAGTGTTTCATGCTGTGCTAGAGCCTTGCTGAGGGACCAGTGTCCAGTGTGGGCCCTCACATGAGCCACCAAAACACCCCAAGCTATCTGGTGTCACCCAGGAACACCTGGGGTACGAAAGCCATCACTGACAGATGGGGGCTGTGCAGCTGCTCCCACGTCCTGTTCATTAGGTGCTATGGACACGCTCACGCTATAAGCACATCTTTGACATAACACAGCACGACAATTTCTTCAGAGTCACAGAAATGCAGAGCATACAAATAAACCTGAACGCTGAAACCGTTTCATTGTTCATAAAGAATATGCACATTGCACCTGTTACGACCAAGGGCACTGGCTGTGCCTTGGAGCTGATTATTCAGCCTCTAACAAGCCTGTCTGTCTGGAAGAACGGTTAAATTCCAGGAGTAAATAAAGCACAACAAAATTGTTTTACAAAAAGAAATCATCACCGAATAGACAGAAGAGAGGTCTTTAAACCCCAGGTAAAGAAAACAATCCTCAAACTGACATTTTCCCCTGAGCTTCTTACAACTGCTGAGTCAGTTTAAATTAAATTTAGCTGAAAGAAGATAACTCCAAGATCGATATTGGTAAAGTCCTACCCCGAAACAAATGTTTGGGAGTCCAAATGCAGCCCCCCCGCACGTGTGTCTCCCCCCCCCCCCCCCCCCCCAGGACTCCTACCAGAGGGGAAGGCAGGACACTCGCCGCGACACGACCGGGGAGCGCTCTCCCAAAGCCCATCCCGACCGGAGGGACCAGCCCGCCGAGGCGACGCTCCCGCAGCCCCCGAAAGGAGCCAGAGCCGCAGGGAGCAGGTGGCGAACCGGTCCCTGCAGCCCAGCCCCGGCACCGCCGCCAGCCGGGCCCCCGCCACCAACACGCGCGGGGCGCCGGCGGGGAGTGTGTATGTGTGGGTGGGGGGTGGGGGTGTTTTTTACGCGGAGAGAGGGGAACGGAGGAACGCCGGAGAGGGCAGGCAGCATCCCCGGCTGCGGCAGCGCGGTGCGCGGGTACTGGGGGAGGGGAGGGGACCGGGACCGGCCGCGGCGGGACTCACCAAGCTACGCGCGGCTGCTGCCCCCGCTGCCGTCCATGGGGGCGGCGGGGGGACGGGAGCCCGCTGCGGGCGAGAGCCGCCCCAGGATCCGCCGCATCTGCCCGCCGCCGCGCAGGAGGAGGCGGAGGAGAAGAAGAAGAAGGAGGAGGAGGAGGAGGAGGAGGAGGAGGAGGAAGAGAAGACCGCGCCGCACCGCCCCGGAGCCCCAGCGCAGCCCGGCCGCAGAGCGCCGCCTGCCCGCCGCGCCCGGGATGGGACCGGCTGCGGCGGGAGGGGCGGCCCGGCCGCGGGGGCAGGTGCAGCCGCCCCGGGGGCGAGGAGCGGCTGGCAGCGGGTAGAGGGGAGGGGAAAGGGGTGAGAAGCGGCTGGAAGCGCCTGTGCGTAACGTGGCCGGGCGCGAAGCCGTCCCGCGAGGGCTTTTAATGAAGTACAGATGTTCCCTAATATAATTAGATCGTCCTCTGCCTGATAATTGGCTTTGGCAGTCGTGCTGATCGAAATCCCGCCGCTGCCGCTCGCTCCGCGGCCGCGCAGCGCTGGGGCCTCCTGCTCAAACTGCGGCTGGAGCCCGCAACTGCGGGGGGGGACCCCGCTCCCGTGAACCCCACATTAAGAAAGCTGTGATTTCAATGAAGGCTTTTGGCTCACAGCAAGTAAAAATAATGGGCAACATTTAGTTACTCATTTCTTATGGTGTGTGTCCTTAGAAAGCAAAACGGCTGGGCCGCTGCAGGAAGGGAGGACAAAACATCATAGTTCTACAAATGAAAGGTTATGGCAAACGTTGGGGAAAAGGCCATTTGTTGAACAGGAGCACAGCACCACTTTAGGATGGCAACTGAGGATGTCCTGGCCAGATGAGCAGGACCTGCACCTTCCTCCCTGCAGCTCCTTCATTATACCTGTGCTCTCAATGGGCCAGGTGAGCTGCAGCTGGTTAAAACACTTCAGTTCTCCACAGCTTGGTTTGTCTTTAGAGAAATTACCAATGAGGACACGCTAATACAAGCCAGATGTGTAGGCGTTTTATGCATGTATGTGGGGAAAATGGATCAAGCCCACAAATTCATCTTGCAGAGGACAAGCAGCCAACACAAGGTAATGATTTCTAGTCACTACAGGCCCCAGACCAGACTTCTTTCACCTGATGACTCAAAGCTGAAACGTGGCTGTGCCATGCCTGCTGATACTTGGGCACTGTGAGGAGTGTAAATACTTCAGATAAGCAGGATTAGGGAATTCTCCTAGGCCAGGGTTGCGGAGGGGAGCAGCAGACAGCCTGCACATCTGTACCTCTCCCCATACGTCAGCCTAGGCAGTGTCCAAGGGTAGGGCAATCCTGCGTGTTAAGACAAAATGCAGGTTGGAAGTGAGTTCCCCCACCCCCAAAGAGAGTGTGTCCTGCCCACTCGTCTTGCACAGCCCAGGATCTCAGCCATCAGCTTCTATCCACTTCTTTTTGTTTTACGTGAAGGCAAGTGACTACAGTCCCTTCCGGCAACAACCAACTTCTCAGCCCACACCCACAATAGGTCACCATCCCATTTTATATTTACCAGTGGTACCAAGACGACACCTGAGGACTGAGAATCATTTTGTACCTATGCAAAGGATAAAGGGGTAGCTCTACCCTGAGACTGGGGCTACATCAGCATTAATTCTGGCCTCAAGCCCATGCTCCAAGCCTGTCCCCTTGCAGGTTTTTCCTCTGGAACAAACTAGCCTCCAGCCAGGCAAGCTCAGCTCTGAGAGAGTGGCTTTGCAGGCCCAGTTTAAAGACAGTTAGAGACACGCTGAATTGCATACAGGGACACCAGCTCTCTGCACAAGGATCTCTGCCTTTTCCTCAGCAGGAGCAGTAAATGCTCCTTGTTTTTGTAACAGTGCTCTGCAGATTTCTGAGGGACACAGGCAGCTGGGGGGGGGGGGGGTTCACAAGCTGCGCATGGCATGGGGCATCCTTGGTTTGCCTTCAGTTAGGCCCCTCTGGGGTTTTGGTCACCCTCTAATACCCCCATGGCTGCTCAGAAGACAAGGAAGCCTACATGGTCATAGAGATATAAGTGATGCTGTGTCTTCCAGCCACTATTTTTCATATGCCTGCTTTCTGGGAAGGTGTAATGCCAGAAGCAGCTGCATGTATTCCCTGAGCACAGATGCTGCTGCAGCAGATAGCTTGGGAGGCAGGACAGGGCTAAAGAAGCTAAGACTATCCTTTCTTCCAGTTTCACTTCAGCCACGGTAGAATCTTTTCTTAGAAGGATATAAATATAGAAGAGGTGAGAGAAGCACAAAATCAACACAACCTGGAACAATATGGCTTGATCCAGAGGACAGGCAGCCTGACAGACTGATTTCACAGTCTTAAGTTCTTTTCTCTAAATGCTAAGTTTTTTATTTTAAAGACCCATCATTATTACAGGCTCTCACTCAGACTTCCCAGTCTTCCTCTAAAACCAACACAGAAATAGCTTCAGAGAATTACCTAGTTTAGTTTTCCCTCAAAGGCAGATGCAGGAAGACATTCACTCTACATGGGGGAGTCTTCCAGTTTATGAGCTCTTGAGCAAAGACACAAGTAGACTCACACACTTACCTTATTAGCAACATCCAGTTTTTTCTTATGCTTCATGGACCTTTTAGCAGGAGTCTTCTCCTCCCCCCAATTCTACAGATCAGTAATTTTCAGCTGGTTCTCACTGACTTAGTTTTTCTACTGTCTTTCCAGGTGTTAAGCTGATAAGTGTGTGATTTCCAAGGATCAGCTTTGTCAAAAAGAGGAGGAACAGTATACTTATTCCTCTCTGACCACTGTTGTATTTCCCTGTCTTCCACCCGTTATTAAAGGTAGATGGTTCAGAGCTGGCTTCAACTTGTTCCTTAGATATTCCAGAGTAATCTTCTTCGGGCTTTGCCCATTTCAGTGGACTTTTTGTTTCTGTGCCCCTCTGCAGGTAGGTACATGTTGTTTCCTGAAACTGTTCTCCTGGAAGTAGAAAACAGGGAGGCTTATTGTAGAATTCAACCAATAACAGGTCAATCATTTATTTTGTTCTTTATTTCATTCCATTATAAGAATAAATGCTTTCTTAAGCGAAACAAGGTAACGTAACTGTTTGATCCTGAGCAAATAAGAACAACGCCTTTTCCCTCTGGGTATAAGGCACCTGTCCAACATTTTATTAACTTTGCTAATTGCATTAAGCATCCTGCAGTGCTGAACAGTCCTCTGCTGGTAATTCCCAGATCACTATAGTTTAGCTGACTGTTAAATGAGAAAAATTCATAGCAGAAAAAAAAAAAAAGACATTTTAGACCCACAGTAGCAACCAAATGATCATAGAGTTCTGAATTCCGATCAGCTCCTAGAAGTGATCATATTTTATGAACTACCGGAAGATGATGTTAGGACTCACACAATAAATATGACACGCTTTTGAGCTGTATGGGTACAAGTGAGATTGATTGATAGATATTACATGTTCAGACATTTATACAAACAAGAAAAATTAGGTTTCCATATGTGAATATTTTATGCAGATTTTTATGCAGATAATTTGTATCTGCTCTTTCATTTTGTTACCTGTAGTATTACATATGAACATAATAATAATCTGAATTTACATACACAAATTACTGGAATGTCTGGATCTGGCACGTTGGGGAGTAATTTCTGGCTGGAAACATTAGCAGTGTGATAACTATTTAGACAACTATATGAAATTAAATAAGCACTTGTCAAAGGAAAGATGCATTGTTATGAAAACTGGAATTGGTATAGTCTCAAATAAAAATGCAGTCTGTGAAAAAGAGTTAATCAGAAATTCTTTCCTGCTACTCTCCTGCCTTAGTGCTTTTCCCATTTCTTTCCTCCTTTTCCCGGGGTGGAATCCTGCCACCCAGAAGTGGAGAGCTGGGGAGGCAGAAGCAGCCATACCATGCTGCAGAGGTAGAAAAGCAGTAAATCACCGCTCAAAGCAGAGGGTTGGCAGGCACCCTGCAGTCCGGGCTGGTGGCTCTGCCTGCAGGGATCAAGTGTGCCTGTGCCAGAGCGGGACCCCATCCAGGATGTGTGTGCACCACACGCACAAGGACTGGTGGTGCATGCATGGTAGGTTTGACATGGGAAATGTTGGACTTCGTCATTTTGGTCCTGACAGTAGTCAAGACCTGAATTCTGCTCAAGAAGTAACAGGAAAAGCAGCAAGGTTAGAGAGGAGTATGGAAGAAGCTGCAACTGTCCTGCAACCGCTGTCAGGAAGTGGTTTCCAGAGGACTTGTATCCACATTTTCCATTTTTAAGAAGCACAAAGGCCTTTTGACTGGTTTTGTGAAAGGAATATTATTTCTGCCTTTTCTTACTTGATCACCAGGGAACCCCTTCTCCAGCCAATCTATATGGAAGTAAGCAGGGGAAAAAAAAAAAAAAAGAAAAAAGGAGAAAGAAAAAAAAGCCAGTCAAGCTACTGCTGATTGTATTAATTTATATATGTTGTTTATAATTAGCCTGCTTAAACATTAATTTCCTGCCTTCAATAAAGACCGTATCTCTCCAGGACCCTCTCCATGTCCATTGTCTTTGTGACAGACAGCAGAGATAGGTAGCAATTACTCAGCTGTTATTTAGTAAGTACTCCAAAGTACTTTGATGCAGCAGCATTGTAAATTCTCAGTAGCAGCTAATTGTCTCATTTTAATTCATTTTTAATGAGACACCTGGGAGAATGAAGAAACATCACAAAACCACAAAAACCCAAGAATATTCTTGAGTTGATCTCCCAGTCCTTCCTTAATTCTGCCTTCCTGAAAAAGAGCTTCTTGGTATTTGCATGAAAAGGGTGCAGCCTCTTAGCTTCACCCAGCTGTGTGGCAGCATCGTTCTCTGCCACATCGTAACCCATCTCCCACAGGCAAGGGAAGATGATGGTAGAATCTATAAAACATCAGGGAAGGAATCCAGAGAGGAGAGGCCTCCAGTCCTCAGATGTTCCACGTCTTCATCACTTCTGTCTTTCTAGTCAACCAAGCCACATT